TTCTAATATTTATATTTATTTCTTAGGTACGTGGTAATTTTCGACATGCATGGGATCAGATTAGGGCACATAGCTAGGGTCAGTTTGCCTGCGCTAAGAGCTTTTATGTTATACATTCAGGTAAGGTATTTAAATTGTAAAGTGTTATTTGGGAAGCCCAAAATCTAATTTAAATTTTGTTTAAACCATGCAAAAGAGAATAAATTATGTTGTGTAAAAGCCTTGTTCAATGGCCAAAAACTGTTTTCCAAATTTGCTAAAAACGCCCAAGAAAATTTGATATTTCCCTTGCTTCCGAGATGATGTTGCGGAGAGACGTGACCTGATTACTTAAGGTCCAATTTAAATTTTATTAAACCCCTTCTGTATTTATTTCACCTTTAAATGTTTCCATTAATATAGTTTTTAATCTGCTAGGAAGCACATCCTGCCAAGTTGAAAGCCGTCCACTGTTTGAACACTGCGAATTATATCAATCACGTGATGCGTCTGATTTCTCCTTTATTAAGAAATGAGATTATTGGCCTACTACGATTTCACTCTGGTAGGTAATATTGTACTATACTGAAGATGAAAATTTGTTCACACGCAGCGAGTTTCATACCATGAATTTTCCTTCCATTGAAACCGAAAGTACGGGGGATGTTTCCAAAGTTCTGAGAATTGTGCTATAATTAAATTACGTAGAACTTATAGGCAATGTTATTGGTAGATATATAAAATTAAACCAGAATTTATTGAGACTGACTGACGTAATTTATCTATTGGAACGGTCGCAATACGCGTTTTATCTACAGGGTTGTTCGGAAAGTCATTTCGTTTTTTTTTGTGGAAATGAAAGACAGTTTTCGTATAATAAACAAACACTTTATTAAATTATATATTGACCGNAGGTCCATTTAATTATATGGATATCTACTTGCTGAAACGAATCCCGGCGTAGCTAATAACTTCAACGTGATAGGCACGTTACCATAATCGAATAAAATAATTCTGTTATTTAGCATACCAAGTTAGTTATGATTTGCGTTCACCCTACAACTATGACGCCTATTACGTTTATTATCATAAGGTCGTCAGTCCTAAGACTGGTTAGACACACTCCTCCACTCTTTCCTATCCTGAGCTAATCTTCGCTTTTTTCTAAAACTAGAATAACCCATATCCTTAATTTTTTGAGAACAGTAACCTAGGTCTATGTCTACTCCTCCTAACTCCCGTTTCTGCCTCTAATATGTCTCTGAGTGAACCTTCATGCCTGAGAATGTGTCCTACCAACCTATATCGCCTATTTCTTATTGACTTCCGTAGAGTCCTCTGTTCTCCTATTCATTCTAATACCTCTTCATTTCTAACTTTCTTTATCCGGGTGTAACACCACATTTCGAACGCTTCTAACCTTTTTATATCTCTACTGTTCCTTCCATCTTGACTTATCTGACTTCCTAGATACTTTTTCTTCTCTTGCATGCCATTAATTTTATTTATTTTCATACAATATTGAAAAACTCAATTGAAATTACTTAGTCGGGGGTTTTAAGGGTCGCTCAACAGGAATATGCAGTGGGAAACTCGAAAGTTTTACCTTTTTTTGAGCTCTATTTTCACGATTATGGGTACTAACCATTATGTCTAATTAGTGGTCTTCCATTCTAATTTTAATTGTCTATTTTGGTTGTGCTAAATTACAGATACCTGGTCAGATTACCGCAATCCACTCCAGAAGGATACAAGGTGTTAATGTATTGCGTGAAGGATTCAGACGTGTCCAAATTTAATTTTGCAGACGCTGTTAGAGGATTTTGCATGTACAACGACTGCATTTTGTCAGAGGATGGATTAGCCGAGGGGTAATTACCTACAATGTTACTAAAAATTCAAGAAACAATTGAAACTTTAGTGACCTTGAAACAAAAACCCTTTTATTAATAATATAAA